AAGAGAAGAGAAGAGAAGAGAAGAGAAGAGAAGAGAAGAGAAGAGAAGAGAAGAGAAGAGAAGAGAAGAGGAATTCTTAAAACCAGTTAGCATTCTTCGCTCCTTCCCTAAAAAGAACATTTTCCCAAATTGGAGAAAATGAGATTTTGTTTAGTATTTGCTCGATCTCTGTGGGTCTGGGACTGTGCCACATACGGAATACCGAACATGGCTGGAATGGCAGCGTGAGGGAAGATTGGAGGCTGTGAAGCGAACTGCGCTTGCAAGCATTCAGAGGCCGTCAGAAGGCTCTTTCGCTGTGAGAAAGCTCATGGCGAAAGCGCTCCTTGCACGTTCTCAGGCTCGAGGCCAGAAGGGTTGTGGAGTGAGTCATGCATTTTTGGAGAATTCCTGGGGCGGGGAGGGGGGAGCGAGTGATGTCATGGTCAGACTCCAGCATTCCAAGCACCGATGAGAGCTGCAACTGCTCCCAGGGTGGAAAAATTCCAGGCATGTCAAGAATTTGGTACTAGGAAAGAATTAGTCCTTGGGAAACTCACGACAGGAGAACTGAGCACATCCCACATGCTTTAATTTTACCTTTAACATATTGCCATGTGTTAACTGCATATTTTTGATGTCCTTGATCCTGTTGGCTAAATATGGAGTTTCATGGCTGACGTTTTCCTGCACCTTGATTTTTTCCCCACGTTGGTTGCATCTAGGAGGGGGGGAAGAAAAGGAAAATTGAAACCGCTGCATCTGTTGTGCCCATTCCTGGCTTGCGGTGTGATTTCTGGAGACTTAAGGAGCCTTCCCCAACCTCACATCTTCCAGCTGTAGGATTACAACTCCCATGACCCTTGGCCATTGGTCATACTGGCCGAAGGTATTAGCAGTCGTAGTCCTACATCTCAAGGACATCAGACTGGAAAAGCTTCCTCTAAGGGTTTCTTGTTTTTTTGTGCCAGACTTGCTCTTAGTCCATTCCAGCACCAGAATTTGGAGGGCAAGTTACGAACGTCCTACAAACGCAGAAGTGACCAGATAAGCAAACCAAAAATTCACTCAGCTGCTTCAGCTCTATTTGCAAGCACCTTAAGAAGGAGAAATGATACTTTTGATGGTCATGAGGGCTCTAAGAACGGGATGCAAGCCAGGGTTCAACTTCACTAAGAGTCAGCATCATTGGGCATCTTCTAAGGCCATCATTCCAGCAAGAGGCTCTCAGCCAAACCCCAGCGTCTCCTGGCCAATATTTTTGGTGATTGCTGTCTCAGCTGTTCTGGTGAACTCTCCTTCTTCAAGGAAGGTGGAAAAACCAAGAAATAGATGGTGGGGCCTCTGTGGGCTGGGCCAGGAGGGACTTGCAAGCCAATGGGCACCAGAAACAGAGCCGATGTGCTTTTGGCCTTGGAGCATGGAAACAAATTACCATGTCCCCTCCCCCAGAAATGCAGTTATATGGTTTGAAAGCTGCAGGAGAGTCACTTGCAGACCTTCAAAACTGCCATCGAGTCTCAAAATAACAAAATAATAGCAGCATTCACAGATTGCATTATGCCATATGACAGTCTGGGATTTTGGTTTAGCATGTTGAGTGAACCCAGTAATGTGCAAACCATAGTTTATGGCTTAGTGAGATAAACTGTTGGTTCTTCAAGAAACCATGGTTAAAATTAACCATACCTTTGGATGGCTTTGGGGAACTACAGAGATGGCTTGATCATGGGACATTTGGAATTTCTTCTATCAATTATCACTTAATTCCAGATTTCCTAACCTGGTGCCTTGCAAACCAGATGGTAAACTACAAATCCCTTATTTCAGGATAATGGGGAAACTAGATATGTAATAAACAATTTTGTTTAATCCAAAAGCATCCAACTGAATTTATTCAGGGTTTGATTCATTTTGGACACCTACAATCTATAGAACTACAAGGGAGATTAAAGTAGAATCCTATTTTTCGTATAACCAAGTGAGGTTTACCCCTGAGTAAACCTGAGAAGAATGCACTCAATACATCAGTTAATACAAGTTCATAATTTCAAGTATTTTGAATCAGGAGTGTGCAAATTAGCATGGAACCTGCTAATTTGCACACTCCTCCTTTGGTGTAGAGCAGGTTCTTCTAGTGGTGTTGAACTAAAATTCCCATCTCCCCGAGCCAGCAGTCAAAACTGTGAGAGGTTTATCTAGAGGGTACCAGATTATGGCATGCTATTGCACAGATATAACCATCTAAGCAACAGCCTGTATCAAATGTTTGTGTTGTCGCTAACGGGCATTCAAATGAACCCCATCAATAAACGAAGTTGGGCTAATCTTTATTTCAGCCTTCCTACCCCTATCTGATGTGTTACTTTCAGCACTTATACCTCCCCATCAGATTCAACCTGGGCTGCATCAGACAGGATGCACTGAAATGAAAAGCTAAGAAGACCAAGATATTGTGGATCAGTAGGAAACCTGGTTTATGGAGGGAGTTTCAGGCTGTTTGAGAAGAGGTGTCACCCTTCCTGAATGAGCAGGATCTTTGATATTCCATTGCCCTAGATTTCCAAATGACAGCAAAGATCATGGGCCAGATTCTTTGACAGCTGCCTAAAACTGAAAGTTATTCTCTTCAATGATTTTCACATAGTTCTCTCTAGAGCAAGATTTACTGAGAAGAATGGGATGGGGTTACAAGAATTCCAGCAACTGAACTATTTCCCATTTAAAACTAATCTCAAATATTTTTGCAGACTTCTTAATTTTCTTTCTAACAGCCTTCCTAAGATTTAGCAAAAAGGAGGGGGCTTTCCACTGCCAAGGGAGAAATTTGCAGCTGGCTGTTTACACAATAGTTCTCTGAACCCTTATCAGCCTGGGAACCAATTATTACATCAAGAGACCATTTGGATATTACATTTAGTGCACCAGCAGTGACAGTTTCACAGCTGTTCATAACTAGCAATAACTTATCCATGCTCTGTTTACATTACCACTAGCTAATCCTAAGGAACATATTATACAGCCATTCTTGAAGAACTTCCGAAAGTTTCAGTTAATGTAAACTGAGTCCACCAGACAACTAACTAATACATGATCGTATTTGTGAAAGCTAGTTCTTATATGATCAAATGTAACCAACGTGAACTAGATAAAGCTGTTACCAAAACAAGGAACAGATGGAAATTTTACAGAGAGTAGGCAGGAGAAAAAGCCACATTTGAACTTGTTTCCTTCTTTTCATTCCATTAAAAAAAAAAAGAATATTGATATTATAAATAGAGCTTGCGTTTGTTAGATAGCAGTGATTAGAGCTCTTTCACAATGGCTTCTCAGCTTTTCTTCAATAAGATCTACTTACCAGAAACTCCTGGATTTTGGTGGGCCTGTTTAATTGTTTCAAATCCAGACTTCAGGTCTGACAATATCACACTAAACATTGTGATCACACAGATCAACATTGTCTGCCAGATGGCTTACAGGCCCAAATTAATAAAGATGCTGCCTCTCTGAGAGACCACTTCACTTGTTATGCACTGCTCTAATTTGGATGTTCAGTTTTGCCCTTTAAAAGATGCTCCAACTTGTCAGGCATGTGGAAAAGGACCTTAGCATACAAACTGTGGGAAAAACTTACTATGGTGTTAGGAAAGGTCCCTGCTCTTTTGGCATCACCAAGAGTGTCGGAAGGCAGTTCTTCAAGTCATGCGTTTACATGTACTATATAATTGCTGCTGTTTTTAAGGTTCACGTTTCAGATGATTATAAACCGGTACTTCTATTTTTTTTTTTAATGTGCTTGAATTATTTTGTTCTGTATTTTATTATTTTTCTGTTCTCAACTGTCTTGAATGCTTTCTTGGGGATGCAAAGGAGAGAGCAAAAGATCAGTGATACTTTCTGAAGGTTAATTATACAATCCTTAGGACAACAGCACTCATCTTTAAGGTGCCAGAAGTCTTCACTGCTTTTGTACAACAAATTTATATTCTAGACTCTCCATAAGAGGGGTCAAAATAGTCAAAACGGTGGCTGTGATGACACAATCAAACCCCCATCTTTTTGTTACGAGCATTGCACATGTGCCACACAAAAAAACCCAGCAAGGTCATAGCCATTGTCTTGATCTTTCTGACCGTCCCTGTGGCTACACCTCTGGAGGCCATGAAGATAAGGAACTAGCATTTCCTTGAGGGAATCTTAATCCTGAATTCCTTATTTATGCTGAAGGCATAGAATGAGGAAGGCAGAAGCTCCTGATCTTATCCCAATGCCCGGTGCTACCTTGGCAGGAAAGAAAAAAACCGTGCCAGCCTCTCCTTGCAGGTACAGAAAGTTCACAAATGCTCTTACACTCAAAACTAATACATACGGAGCCAGGTGGCTGTGGGAAACCATACCTGTGCAACCTGCTGAAAAATATGCCCATTGTTCCTGCCATCTCCTAACCATGCCTTTTCCTCCACTTTATGTGCATCCTGTCATTGTATTCTACAAGAGTCTCGTTGCTTCTAAAATCATTAAAATCCAAACTAAATTCCCTTTTGAGTTGGGCTTGACTCCTGATGGTTTCAGGTGCACAACTCTATTGTGTTCTTGGCTCCAAACAGAAGGATTTTCCCATTGCTTTCTTCTAGGAAGCGTTTTCGATTTAGCTTTCAGCCGTGGCCCTCCCTGGAAATCCTCCATCGCACCACTAAGCAGGTTGACCTTGCTTTGCTTCCTGGTTCAGGCAAAATCAGCCCGTGATTGCCCCCTGCTGAGTTGCTAGCAGTTAAAAGGACTTCACAAAACATGAGGCTAAAAAGCAGAAGGGCACGTTGTGAGATATCAGCAAGGGAACAGAAGAAGGTGGATTATTCACATGAGCCCAATGCACAGCAAGGTGTTTGTTCCTTCTGAGTTGCAAATTTGATTCAACAGGAAGCGTGGGGCACAGGAATTTATCCACTGGTGCTTCTTAAACATCTAATGCTGTTGCTGTAGAATCCATGAATGGCAGGAAAGCTGCACCACGAAAATGAAGTCTAAAATTCAGCCAGAGGGAGCCAGGTTAGGGAAGCGTGTACTAAAAACTGAGAAGAAGAATTTCAGTTTTGCCTCCGTTCTCATTTACAACCTTAGCTTTACTTACTTGGGTTTCTATGTTAGTTTTCACTCTTGTTCCTTTCTTGCCTGCTACTCATGTTAACATTTCAGGTCAAAATGTTTTTGCCTGCTGCGGACATAATCGATCAGCGCAACATCCTTGCGGTGATTATGGTGTGGGTACTTACGTTTGCAGAGGTAACTGTCAACCATCGATCAATAACCCCAACCCCTTTTTTGGAGAAGCATGAGATAGCCGAAATATAGAGGACATAATTGATTGGTGTACAAAACTCACTGGTGGGCAATAAAGGAACAAGAGCCTTACTTTCTATTTTTTTTTAAAGTAAAAAAGACTCCAAACAGTGGTGTCTACATGGTTGGGTGCATCAAGACTGGCAAGATGGCACATGGAGCAATGCAATGGAAGCCTGGCCCGTTTGGGATGTAAGTGCAATGTTGATACACTTTGCAATACTCCATCCACCCCCTTGCTGATTTTGACCCCTCCTGCACCTTCCACTAATTCCAAATGAAAGTAGCTACACATTTTATCCCTATCTGTGCATTTTGGCAAGCAATTAGACTGAATAAAAACCATTTTTGAACATTATCTTCACAAATACAAGCTTTTTTGCCCATGCTTCTTCCTACAATAACTTTTTTGAAGATCTTTTTAGATGGGGGAACTGTCCTGAAAAATTCAGACACACAACTATGGTTTGTTTTGTTCTATCCGTCGCCTCTGGAACGGCAAATCAGGTCAGCTTGCATTAACATGCAGACTGAATATTTCCCCACGCCCAAATGGACGGGCAAATGACTAACACCATTTTAAAATGACACCACTGGCAACTTTCCAAAAGAGGAATGTTATCAGGGTGAGGCAAAAATGGAGCATTGCTCAGAAAGAGAGGTTCTAGGAACCTATGATGGTTAGGGTTAGCTTCCAAAAGTGGAGTTTTATATGGGTTGCCCAGCCTAGGTATAATGCAAAGCACCCAATGCACATTGTCCCCTTGATTTTCATGTTACAGCTTAAGCTTTTTTCAGATCATGGTTACGTTGAAATAAAATCACCAACCCTACAGAAGGGAGTTTTGCTGCAATGTGCCCAGAGATTTCCCATTGTGTGAATATTTTCTGGGGACCAGACTTCTTGCACTACTGAAAACAAGGGGGGGGGGGGACATGGTCCAGAACATCTCAAAGAGGAAATTCCCATCACTTCTGTGACTTTGGAGAAACTTATTTGGCTAGTTATCCAAAGAACTATCAGGGGGTATGTCCTTGAGCCACTGATGAATCTACGACCCCAACTTCAGACATTTTTCTATTGATGTTCTTCCCATGACAGTAACTCCCTACTCCCAAGAAAAACTTGAAGGGGTGGGGGGAGAACATAGCTTATTTCTTTAATATTCCTCCATCTGTCCTTTATTGTTGTATGTGGAAAACCTAACTCCCTCCAACTTTCTTCCTACAGCAGAGAAGGGTTAAAGTGCATGAAGATTGTTACCTTTGGCTCCAACTGGCATTCGCCAAGAGAAGTATTTTCCATTCAGGCCTGAGCCAAGGGTCTCATGTGGGTTGCTATGCTAATATTTCAACAGGAACAAAGGAAATTGCCTGTTTGTCTACAGGCATTGGGCAGCATCACATGTTTAACTCAACAAAATCCCTGTTTAGCACATTTAAGCTTCACCAGCCACCCCTCCTTTACTCCTAGAATCTCACAAAATAAGAAAGAAAGGCAGTTGTGAGGTTGTCTCATCTTGAAATCTACCAATTCATTATTATGTATGTGTGTTGAGAGGTAGGGTGAAACTAAAGATAGGACGCTGCTTTCAACATCAGTGCAAGCAGCAAAAGAGACACAGAGATTTGGTCAGATTGTTTGACTTTTGGGCAGACTTGTGGAATGTGATGCTCCAAGGCAATGAAAGCATATATTATTGGATTCTTAGTTTCTCTGAGCTTGGCTGTTTTCCTACAGATGTTTTTTGCAAGCTCAAAGAACACCATGAACCTAACAGTTCTATCTTGCATTACATATATTCTGTCTTTTTGAAAGGATATGTTACATGCAGAAGGTCAGGGCCCAGCATCTTCAGTTAAAAGAAACTCAGGTAAGATCCCTGCCTGAGACATAGGAAGATGAAACCAGCCAACATGCCTTCTAGTCCAGCATCATGATACCCACAGTGGCAACTAGATGCCCCTGAGAAATCCCAAGTAGGGCCTGAAGTCAATAGCTTGCTCTTAAATTTAATTGGAAGTAATAGGTGCTCAGTGAAAGCTACGTCTGCATCTAGGCTACTAGTACCATTATGACTAACATCAATTGATAGACTTCTCTTTCATGAATTTGTCTCATCAGAAGTTGTCTAAAGAAGATGGCCACCACCACATCTTGCTTGTATTCCCAAATCCCAAGTCAATGGTGTGTTGTGGGAATATGGGCTTGTCCAGTTTCAGTCCAAGTTGGCCACCATATTAGATATTTCTATATTTTATAATAGTGTCCCATTCTTGCAGGTCCTGGAGCAACTACATCTTGGAGGAATCTTCTTCTCCATGTTTCCTGACTCCATGGGTGGCTAAGTACTGATAGTGCCTCTGCCAGACGTGATTTTCACCATATCTCCTCTCTTCTTTCTGAGTCAATAAATCCTATGATCTGCTCTTTCCCTAATCATTAAACTCTGGTAGTTCTCATCTGTTTTCCTTTCCCTTCACACAGCACAGGCTTCATCCATTTGTTCACACTCACAAAATGTAATAGCGTAATAGTGCCTAGGTTGCTAATCTTTGTAATCACAGAATTATAAGCTTCATAATACATGGGATATATCTTTTTAGGGTAGAGGGGGAAATGGGGATGATTACCCTGGGCTCACAGATATGTGTGGAGAGGTCATTCCAGACAGTTCACTATCTGAACTGATTAGAAAGATTTATACATGTTATTCATGGCACTACAGCTAACAAACTAGATCCCCACATCTTGTTTCAGCATGCTTGGAGAGAACAAAACATGCACTGACATTGGATAGAGTAAGAAGAAAGGACATATGAAGCCAGGGGTCTTCCCTAATTTTTTGCCCATAATCCACTGGGCCACAGGTGTCTATGGGTGGGTGGGATCAAAAAAGTCAAGATGCATATTAAAAAGGGGTGGGGTTACTACCAACAATACAAGAATGGTTGTTAAAACTGATGGAAACGGCAGAAAATGATAAACTGACTTGTTTATTAAAAGA